TTGATATTTGTAGGAATTCCATGAAAATATCAACAAGTGACAAGTCAGCCTACAAGTGAATGTGAAGCATGTTTGTCCAATGTAAGAATTTAATGTTTTTTGATCATTTTTTATTGGAGATGCAAACTCACAAAGATCATGACAATTCATAAATAACATTGTTTTTGCACAGGAAGATTTTTAAGCTTCCCAGTTACTGATAATAATTAGGTTAGATGTGCTAAACTTTTTATAGTAAATGATAAATTTAAGGTATATGTTCAGATGGTTAAGTAATATGTACCACCAAATTATATTTTTAATGGCTTTTTCTTCTTTTTCTTAGGCAGGGTGCATCTGGTTATGATAGAATAAGTAAATGGCATGTTTATTGTTGTCTATATCAGGATAATTGCTTGTGCTAATTTTTAATTTTGAAAATTATTGTTGATAAGTGCTTATATTGCTTAATTTTGCATAAAATAATTAAGGAATTATTTTAGCATGGTTCATCATGTTACTTATAACTGTGTGTGTGTATGTATATATATCACAAATAATTTGTGTACGAAGGTGGGTCTTGGCTTTGAAGCGATGATGATTGAAGAGACTACCAGTTGTTCAAAACTGAAACTTGACACTGCTCTCTGTGTCTGCGAATGCATATTTCAGCATCACCGAGAAGAAAAGGGCAAAAAAGGACAGGGGCCATGACACACTCTTGCTTGGTACTGTTTGTGACATTAAAGGATTCTGATATCATACCATCAGACACGATATTAGCTTTCATTCCTTCATGAAAGGAGATGATCCCTTTTAGCATGTTTTCTGTGATGCCGAGTTTCCTCAAAACTTGCCAAAGAGTCTCTCGTTTCACAGTGTCAAAGGCCTTCGTCAAGTCCACAAACACCATGTACAACTCTTGGTTTTTCTCGAACCTTCTCTGCAACTTGATTAAGAGAAAATATCATGTCAATGGTGCCACAACTTGACCGAAAACCACACTGCGATTCAGGATAGATGTCAACAAGGTGTATAATGATTCTGTTTAGAATCAGTCTAGCTAGGATACTGCCTGCAATTGAAAGTAGTGATATCCTTCGATGATTATCACAGACACACCTGGAACCCTTGTTTTTGTAGAGGAGTTTGATAGAGGCGTCTTTATAATCCTTTGGGACACAGCCTGCCTTCCATGTCTCCACGAAAAATAGATGTAACTTTTCTACCAACTTTTGGCCACTATGCTCATACACTTCAGGTGGAATAGGATCCTTAGGAGTAGGTGATTTTCCAGATGAGATTTGCTTGATGAAGTCACTTACCTCTTGATAGGTAGGTTCAAAAGACAACTCCGGAATTTCTGGATTTTGCTCAATTGATGTACACAAATTATTCATGATTTGTTGTTTGCTGATGATGCTACTTCTGTTGAGACATCCTTTAAGGAGGCCCAACATCTACAAAATCGTTTCTCTGCTGCATGCAAAGCCTTTGGTCTTGCATTTAGCATAAAGAAAACTGAAGTAGTGCACCAACCTCGTCCTACTCTGAAGCAATTCTGTGGTGAGAAACAAAAACCACCAGTCTACAAATTTCCAGAAAGACCATTGAAAGTAGAAGACAATGCCCTGAACTATGTAAAGTCTTTCACCTATCTTGGTAGCAAAGTCAACTATAGTGGAACTTTAGATGATGAAATCGTGCGCTGGATTGCTAAGTCTACCAGTGCTTTCGGCAAACTTTGCCATCACTTGTGGAATGAGCGGGGTATTTGACTGGATACAAAAATTCAGGTTTACAGAGATTTTTGTCCTTGCCATCCTTTTGCATGGCTCAAATTCGTGGAATCCATACAAGTACCATATACACCAGCTGGATGTTTTCCATAAAAGCTGTCTGCATGCCATCTGTGGAGTTAACTTTCAAGATAGGACATCTAACGTAGACCTGTTTAACAGGTGTAATATTGAAGGAATCAAGGCTTTTCTCATACAGTCTCAGTAATGGTGGACTGGTCATGTCTTGAGAATGTCTGATGACAGGATACCCAAGATCCTAATGTACAGCCAGTTAGATCAGGGCTACAGGAATGTAGGACACCCATGGCTAAGATACAAAGACATGCTGACGAGCAAATTGTCAGCTGTCAATAAACCTCATAACACCCTCAAGCACTTAGCCTTGGGGCGGGTAGAATGGAGATCAACATGTTTTAGTGGATTCAGCAGTTTTCAATCTGCTAGTCTGGATCACCTTCAAGAAGCGAGAGCAAGATCTAATGGGTCAGCCAATCTAACAGTGATCTCATCCCACAATCCTCACTCCTGCTCCATATGCGGCCTCCTTTGTAAATCGCTAGCGGGTCTTAAGTGTCACTTACGGTTATCACACAAAATTTCATAAGTGAACCAATTGGTTAAGTTGTCAGATCCTCATATGTTGAAACTCACAGGAGAGTCCATTATTGTTATTAACATATATATATATATTCAAATAATAGGAAAGAACAGTCAGATTTATAATCCAGAGTTCTTTAGCAATTTTTTATTTAAAAAAAAAAAAAAAAAAAAAACAGTACTTGATACAAAGTAGAGCATAATATAATCATTTTTTTAAAAATATGTCTCCATCATGACAGAGAAATTATGATGTTTCAAAACCAAAGCTTAAATCCTAAAATTTAACTTTAAATTTTAAACTTAAAATTCTGAGATTGGTTCCATTCTCAAGCGATGTTAAGAATAACTTATAAAAAAAATTGGATTTTTAAGTTGGTGGTGTTAAGAGAATTCCCATTTTTTTTTTTTTATTAAGGGGGGGGGTGTTAGCTTTTCTTTGAATGTATAAAGCAAGTGTATCTTTGTGTAGCAAATTTAAAGTCAGTTAAGATTGGGTGGGAGTTATGATTTCTGTCTAGTGACACTGACTCTCTTTCAAGCTGTTATTGTCTGGTTTATTTAAGATTTACGCTACAATATATTTGACATTTTTTATTTATTTATTTTCATTTTAAAACTACATTGGGATTTTCTTAAAGGGGTATTCAAATATAATTAAGTCATATTTTTATACTTACATTTTATTTATTCATATCTAAAATACTATATTTATTTAATTTACTAATAGGCTATATATGGTACTATAAAAGTAATAAATTAGAATTTAATTAAGTATTTATAAATTATTTAATTTATGATCAAATAATAGATATAAATATGTGAATTATTTTTAAGAAAACTGCTATTTCATTTCTTTGATTTCATAAATTTTTATTTTTCAGAAACTTAATAATATATAACTTCATGTAGACATAAAAGACTTGGGTCATCCAAATATCTATAAGTTCTTGTTTTTTTTTTTTTTATTAGTTTCCATTTTACTGTTGGTGTTTTATTTGTTTTTTTTAATTGCCAATAATATTTGGATAGGGATGTTTGGTTATGATACTTAATATTATTAAAGGAAGTCAAATGCTGTCTCCATCTTAATTTAAATTCATTTTTTGTACATCCTATATAGATTTTCACAACATTAAGATTCTCAGTGGATGAGATAGTGTATTGGTAAACTACGGATTCTGTAGAGCATTCATTACTCAAAGGACAATATTTCTACAGTTACATAATTTTTCTTTATTATTGTTTATTCCTATTTCAGGATCTCTATTTCTTTGATTCTGGCATAAGTATTTATTTAAGATTTTAATATTAGTTGTTTTTTTTATAATGCTTTCTAAATTTTCAGTACAGCTGTAACTTAATTTTAGGGTACTTTTATTAAGAATTTTGCTAAGTATACTATTTCTAGGAAAATGTTTTTCAATTACAGCCAGAAATTTTTGTCCTAACTATTAACCATTTGGTTGAATGGGTGTGTGTACCAACTGATTTTTCTATTCCTATTTTTTCTCTGGTTTCTATTATCATTTTTTTTATATAGTTGGTGTTAGGGCATTTATAGCCACTATTCTTTAGAGCTTTATTATAAAAATTACTGTGTTCATAGAATATTTTTTCATTAGCAGAATTTATACTTATTCTTTTTTCAATAGATGAAGGTATGTGCTTTATTATAGATGGAGGATGATTTGACTTGGGATGTATATACAAAAGATTAGCATTAGGTTTTTTTATGTTATTCATTAAATCTAATGTTATATCAAGGAAGTTTATATTTTTTTAATTTTGTATTAACAGTAATTTTCAAATTTAGGCATTTAAATTCTATGTAATATCTTTCTGATTTTATCTATTTTAAAGTTAGTATTTTAAGTTTAAAGTTCAGTTTCGAAACATAGTAATTTCTGTATTGTGATGGGTTTGTTTTAAATATGTTAGAATTTACACAATAACCTCAAGTCTTGATTATTTTTTCCTGAGCAATGCTAAATACCTAATCTAGTTATTCATTAATTTTATATATTTTCACACATGCGTGCGCACACACACAGACACATATATTTCTACACTCACAAATCTATTTTCACATATATACATATCTTTTTCACACACACACACACACACACACACACACACACATATTTTCAGATACACAATGTTTTTACCCACACCCATATATATATTATTCCAGATATCCTTTCTCTCCAGTCATTTTCATTGAAGAAGAGACAGAGATAAATGCAGAAAGTCTATTTGTATATATAGTGATATGACAAATGTAAATAGCTCTATTCAGTGATTTAAACTATTCAAGATTATTTTATTACGGAAATTATAATTTATCAAATATTCTATTTATAGTTTTTTTTTTTTTATAAGATTTCAGTTATCAAATTCTGTTTTGTGCAATATCCAGCTAAAAACCTGTAGCAAATGTTTTTCGAAACCAAAAAAGCCTATTGATAGAGTCACTTAATTTTGGCTGATTTGAAAAGTGATGCAATTCGATAATTTTTTTATTTGTAGATCATATTTTTCTGTAAGAAAACAAAAACAAAAAAAAAAAAAAAAAAAAAAATCAGTGCACATTAGCATGATTTATAAAGTATAACAGCTTACCATTGAGAATGTCACCGAAATCTACCAATTCATCTTGGCCAGTCAATGTGTCCAACATAAGATTTGAACTGGGCAGACAGGGCAAATGACCAACCTGAAAAGGAAAAGAGATTTTCTCATTTTAATAGCAAAAGAAATCTAGACACAGTTTTTGAATCAGAGTGGTTCCAGGATCTTATATATTATCATATTGAAAATAACAGAATTATATAACATCAAGCAACAAATGTTAAATTTATAAATTTTCTCTTTGGTAATGCCAAATTATTTTGTGCAGATTTCATTGTTTTAATTAGCAAAAAAAGAAGAAAAATAAGATAATTTTTCAACTGATATTAGGTTGTTATATATATATTCATTCATTTTTTTTTCCTGATGTTCTTCAACTGATCTCAAGGAATAATCTTTTGCAGCATATTTTGCTTCTTAGTAACTCTGGTTGTCCTTTGAAACTATTGCCTAATGTCACTAAAATTTTATTTCAGTTTATAGAGCCATTTGAGATGAAATGCTAAGTAGACAAGAATAAGCAACATCATCTCTTTGCTTTTAATCAAGGTCACAAAGCTACCAAAGCTGCTCAGGACATTTGTGCTGTGTACAGACAGAAATGGTTTTTCCATTTCAAGGAGAGGAAGTTCAAACTCACAGACAATCTGTGTCCTGGCTGACCTGTTCAATTTGATGAGAACCAATTGCATGTGCTGACTAAAGAAGAACCTGTGCCAGACCTCTAGGGAATTATCTCAGAAGATGGCAAACTCACATGTTACTTTTGTTTGTCAACTTGATTCAATGTGTAAGGTCAAGAAACATAGTGCACGAGTGCCACATAAATTGACAGAGAGAAATAAACTTCAGCATTTCTCCATTGCTTCTAGTTTACTCATTCGATGCCAGGCTATCTGTGGATACAAAGAAAGAGCTCTGCTGAGAAGTTCTGCCACACTCATCAAATTCTCCTGATTTAGCCCCCTTCAGACTACCAACTTTTTCAGTTACTGTCTAACAACTTGAGGAGTGTTTCATTCAACAATGATGTGGGGCTTAATGAATTTTTCAAGTCAAAACCTAGTGATTTCTATCATCGAGGCATTGAACGTTGGTAGGAGGTTATCAACAATGAGGGGGAATACATTATTGAATGATTCATTAGAACTATTTATAAATAATAAGTAGTAAAATAAATTATAAAAATGAATGAATTTATATAACAACCTAATATTTAAAACCTTTCTGAAGATTAATCAAAACATTAAGACTCATAAAATGAAAAGGTAATTTTAAACTTATTTATATATTAAGTTTTTTTCATATTTCTATTTATAAACCATTTTAGTCTTCATCTTATTTACAATTTATATATCAGTAAATAATCAAAATCAGTTTTATTTAGTAAGTGTACATGTGTTTGTGCATTAAAATACATGCCAGAGAAAGAATACCTATATGTCTAAATTCTATTATTTTATCTGACCAAATCTATCCCAAATATATATTATTAAGACATCTAGGTTTGTCTGGTGGGTGAGGTAGCTGTGCATTTCCTACCAATGCTCATTGTTGGTTTGGGTTGATCAAGACAACATCCTCTTGGAAATCTGACACAATCTGGCACGACATTCCTAACTTCAGAAATTCCCCCCTGACTCCATCTGCACTTGTACTAAACTAAGTTAAGCTTATCAAATAGAAAAGTACTTAATTTTTCTTTATTTTATTCAATCATAGAAAAAGGACATGCAGTTTGTAATGAAATATATGCATGAAGTTGCATATATTTATTTTACAAAACTTATGTATATACCAGGTATATAAAGGAATGTTGAAAAGTTATCATCTCAACTCACTTCCCCAAATGAACATTTTGAAGCTTGCTCATGAAAATACTCCTTTTTGATTGAACCAAGAGTTTTTTTAGCACCCACTCCCCATGTAAATTCATAAAAAATTTTCAATATAAAAATAGGACAACAGAAATACATACTTTTGAGCAATTTAAAAAAAAAATTAAACTATTAATGTTGTTCACAATACTTAATCAGAAGACAGAATTGATTCAATTTTGAAAACTTTTTAATGTTTGATTAACCAGCTCAAATATTGTCTGTGTTTTATGTTAAAAACAAATATGTAGGAATGCAAATGCAACCCTGATTTCATTAAAAAAAACAAACAAAAAAAACATATTCTAAGAATTATTGAAACATTGAGTTTAATTATAAAACCTGTGAATGTGCTTAAAAACTGTCCTATGTAACAGGTGAAGTGAAAGTCTCTATTAATGACATGTAATTTAAATTCAATCAACAAATATATCAGAGTGTATCAGATATGCAAGAAATTTTGTTTTAAAAGCTTAGAGGAGAAGGAGAAGAGTATGTGCCAAAAACATAGCAATTATATTTATTTTTTTTTTTTTTAACTTTCTTACAGTGAGTTAATGATAGTAATTAGTGAAGAAGAATGGAGACTGTCAGAAATATTGAAAAGAGTCATGTGGACACAATAGAGCAGGGTTAAATGAACACAGCAAAAAGAATAAAAACAGTGGGAAAATGAAGAGACATTTGAAAAAAATATTTAAAAAAAAAAAATAAAAGGGAAAAAGAACTAGATTTAATCTATAAGATTATGATTATCTTGAAAAATCTATTTGCAAAAAGATTACATTAAACAGCAAAATCTTAAGTATACTGATTAATAAATAGCAGATCCGCCTTATATAGGAAAAAAAGACTATTCAAAATCAACTATCATATTTGAATATTTTTTGACAAATTAAAATTGAACAATTAATGTTAATGGTGCAAATATTTTCAATTTTAATATAAATCACTTCTTTTTTATAGTCCACTTACAAAATGACAATTTCTTTGGTGCTAAGTCATATTTAATATTAGCCTATAATTGCAGAATTAGATACCATATTCCTGTTGCTATGTGTTGTGAGGGAGAATATTTTCCTTACAAGTTTGGAATTGGCTGTCGGACAAAAGACATAAAAATACTCCTACATCAAGAGGAGTAGCAGGAACAGCAGTATCCTTTGCTGAAAACAGTTCATGGCTAAACATTCTCTTCCCTAGTTTCTACTCTACATTATGTTTCTCTGTACGAAAAGGTAATAAACTTGTTAAACCAATTCCGGTTTTCTACTGTTGTTTTTGATAACTCAGTTACAACAATGTAATTGGAAAAAGAAACACTACAATACCTAACAAATAAACTGGGATGTCAAAACTTACAGACAGTGGATACTTTTGTTCTCTTCTATTTGTAGAAATGAACTTAGACAATGTAGGTAAATAGGTAGCATAGCTGTGGTATCCATGAGAAATGAACAAAATTTAACAATATTTCACCACAGAATGATTGTTAGGCTAGAAAGATCAGATACTGCCTCTGAGGTTGCAAGTGCTAGAGTTTTTTTTCTTCCTTGGGCAATAGTAGCAAAGGTATACCAGAAATATGTGAATTCTTGATAAGCATAAGCAGTATGTGAAAACAGTGGTCGCCAATAGCATGACTTCTAGCAAGGATGGGAACAAGCCAAAGAAATTGCATCAAATCATATCCCAATTCAACATTGACATTGCTCAACCTGTTAATTAATGCACTGTATACTGTATCCTTTGCAATTTTATAGTCCTTGACCAACAAGAGTATGACTGCTGATACTATCAACTAGACCAAAGACTGGTTTCATGTTACCTATGGTAAGATGAGTCATGTTTCCAACTCTTTTAGCCAGAAAGGTTGGATTTATATTAGGAAGCGACTGTGTGAGGCTGTGGATCTAGATTTTCAGCTGGATGTTAGGCAAGCTGGTGTGTGTGCTCTGTTGCAGTTCACAAAAGCCATTAGTAAAAACTGGAGTAAGTATTGACAGGTCACACACACACACACACACTGTAAACTATTTGAAATATTTTATGCTTATAAAAAAAAAAAAATGACTTGTTGGTGTAAGATAATGTCAACCTCAACATGTGTGAACAACATGAAATACTTGGCTGATTTCTAGGTACTCCATTGACTTACATGTGTATCAGATCTTAACTCTACATTTTAATTATCAAAAGAATCTAAACTGGAAAGCAACTAGTGGACAAAAAAAAAAAAAAAGAAAAAAAAAACATTTTCTTAATTTTTTTGACAGATTTCTGCCTGTTTATTTATGCATAGCAAGTTATCTTTATTTTAAGCACTTATATAAGGCATACATACAACAAAACTTCTCTGAATATCTTAGGGTAAATTTGTAAAATTAATGAATAACTAGATTGGGTATTTAGTATTGCTGAGGAAAAAAATAATCAAGACTTAAGGTTATTGTGTAAATTCTAACATTTAAAACAAACCTTCTGATAATATCAAAATGTTTGTGAAGATGAGAAACATTTTTGCTTTGGAGTTCCCACTCATAATATCAATTTGGCTGGAAATAGTAGCTTCCACCCTAAGTTAAACAGTGGTGACCTTTAGTGACCTTGGAGGTCACTGAGGTCAATCCCATGTTCCTTCTCATATCAAGCTACTTTTGCAAACTAATTTTCATGGTTTGGCCACCCATAAGATTCATACAATCAAGCAAACAATCCCCAGATTCATTATGACAAATTCTTATCCTCACTAAATTGCTCTTTTTTTTTTTTTTTTTTTTAAATATTCCTATTAAAATATAAAAAGAAGTTTTTGATTAAAATGAAAATCTTAAAATGTAAACAACTTTAAATTTACACAATGTCTTGCTTAATAAACATAATTTATTCTTTTTTTTGAAGTTGGTTCTTTGTCCTTCTTTAAGAAATGCTAGGATTCATTTTTGGTTAATTCTCATGTCTAAGCCTAATAACATATCCAGACATATTTGTATTTATTCATTATAAAAGAAAATTTTTTTTCAAATGTTTAAGTAAAACATGATTTTAAAGTTTTTCTTAGCAAAATGTTCATAATATCAACAGAATATTCTCTGCTTGGATGGCTTTTAAAACTACCAAATGTGTGCTGGTTTTGGAGGTAAGATGTTTCCATATATAAAAGTTACTAAGTAGGATCACATGTGACCCTAATATTTTACCACAAATCTTACTGCAGGCATACATATTATATAAAACAACTAAAAGTAACTACTATTGGTATAACAAAGTGAGATATTAACTCAAAGGTAATCAGAATGCCACAGCCACTCCTGGATAAATTCAGTTCAGCAATTTGAACAGTCTCAACCATGACAACAAAGTCCATATTTAGCTCTATAAATTTACGTAATACACTATGCTAACATTTTTTAACATATAAAATTGTATATTAATTATGTTTAATTGCAATTACAAGGACTGCCAGGCCAATAAAAAAGTAGAATTTTTGTTGACATACATTTATTATAAACATGGAAAATATGCTTTCAAAATATAGAAGAAATAATTAACTTGGGAATCTTTTCTTTTTCATATTATGAATAGGATTATTTAAAATTGTTATAAATATACTCATACACTTACAAATAATTCTAATGATTTTTGTGAAATGTAAATTACATTTTTAAAAAAACTTTCTATAAAATACTTTTGATAAGTATTCATACAGATAATGTTCTCTTTGTAATTAATGACCAATCATAAGAATTTTATTCTTTTGGAATAGCTTTTTCATTAGGCCAAGAACTTGTGAGCACCTCCTTGTTTACATATTACACAGTGAAGTTATATTGTATTACAAATTAAAAATAAAATTTTCTCATGCAGATATCATTGTTAATTATAATTATAAATATTGGCTCAATGGCCATAAAATATTTTAAGATTATTTGTTGTATCAGAAATTGGAAGCAAGGATTAGATTGGCTGAAAATTTCACTTACCTTGGAAACTGCTATTCTTTCCATCTTGAGTTTTAAAGGAGCATGGATACCTTGAATTTTTCGAAGAGTTGAAAAGTTCATTTCCTCATTTTTCTGTTTGAACTATAAAAAAATGAAAGTAATTAATTTTCCTAAAACCTGGTAAATTAATAAATATAATTGTAAAAGAATTTTCAGTGGTAGCTCTATGATAGGGAAACATTAAAACAAAACAAAAAAAACTCAATCTTACATAGCATTTAGTATTATTAATAAATACCTGATAAGGATAGAAAAAAAAGATGTGATTTCTTAGTGTGCAGTGTTGTAAAATCTGTAAAGTGTCATAAATGATATAAATCAAGTAAAAATGCATTTAAAGAATGTTGGTATTATCTACTAAAATTAAATAAACTTGGTATAATTACAATGGACAGAGACATCATCTGTATATATGTGGTATTTTCAAACTGAAACAGAACTAAGATTAAGGATATCATAATGTACACACCTGGTTTAATTGCAATCATTTTAACAACATACACACAACCATTATTATATCATAAAGACTTTCTCGCATACACTACTGCTCTTTTCTTGAGAGTATGTTTATAAACTTAATGTTTTTCATGTAGCTTTTACTAAAGAATATAAGAGGAAATGTTTTGAAGGTCAGATTGAAATCAATTAAGAACCATTTAAATAAAAATAGTTGAACAATGCACATTTAGAAGCTTAGGTAAATCTTTTCATGTTTTTGAAGTGGAAAAAATAAATCCCACAAAGTATATTGGATGTATTATATGTAAAATAGAAAAGTGTAGAGCATGTAACAGAATTAGAGGAGAAGTAGGGCAGGGTAAGAACAGTGAGATTTCATTAAAGAAACTGGAAAAAGAAATACAATCTTTATAATCAGAATCATATCAGAGCAAATGGTACAAATGTAAATAGCTTGGTTTCATAGACTATGCAAAAGTATTTGAATAAGTATGACACAAGGATCTATTTGAACTGCCAGGAAAACATTAAATTAATCCTGAACATTTACTAGAAACAAACTGCTTACACATGGACTGGAAATGAATTGAGTAAGTACACAAAAATATTAAGGAGGAGGCAATGGATTTATTTAACCTTTACAGCAAGGCAATTCTAACACAACTAGATTTATGGATTTATTACTGGTGGGTACAGTTTTAATAAGATATGTAGGTTCCATAGTGTTGATAGTGAATACAGAAAGAAAAATGTAGGGAGTCTTAGACAAAGTATTAAAAGGAAAACAAGAAGAAAGGAATAAGCATGAATTCTAAGAAGACATAATATATGACTGTTAGAAAGAGAGATAAGCAAAGATGTGAGCTACAAATTGGAGAAGTCAAAAGCAAACCAAATACAGAAAATTAACTATCTGGGAAGTGTTATCACAGATCATGGAAGATGCAAGATGGAAATTTGAAGGTGCATTGGAATAATCCATGCTAGAAGTCCTTACAAAGACTCTATAATGTATTAAGAAATAGGGAAATTTTGTTAGAAACAAAAAAGAAAAAAATGAAGAAAAGACTGCTTTACTGCTGAAAAAAAAAGAAAAAAAAAACAAATGCTTAACTACTATATAATATCAGTCATTGTATATGACAGGGAATGCTGGACAATTTTCTCAAAGATGAAGAGGAAATTTGAGGCAACAGAGATATGGTTCTACAAAAGAATGTTGAGAATACCATGGACAGAAAATGTGAGAAATAATGAAGTTTTAAGTAAAATGTGAATGAAAAGGACATTTGTACTTAGAATCAGAAAGAGACAGTTGAAACTTCTAGGACAAATAAAGAGTTAAGAGGGCTTGGAGAATTTGACATTCACAGGAGATATTGAGGAGCAGAGGAAACAGCAAATAACTTGTGTAAATCAATGACAGAACAGGGACTGAGAGGGATAGTAAGAGGACAAATATTGCTTTAGAGCTACAAAGGATAGGAAATTGTAGAGAACCATAATAACCACATCCTGAAGAGACACAGCACATAGAAGAAGAAGAAAGAAAGAAACAAAAATTTAGATATTTTAAGAGTTGTTATAATGTATGAAAACAGAATTGTTTTGAAGCAGTTAATGTTTCAACTGCAAGGTTTGCAAGCGGAGCTCAAGACTGGTTTAGAGAATAGATTCTTTAGTTAAATTAGTATAAGTTAAATTACGTCTATGAAATGTTGGTCTTGAGCAAGTCTTTCACATCATACATTCAATTTGTGTACTTGAAAAATCCTTCATACACAGAATTATAAATCAGATCATAAAGTTTATAATTTATACTTTTGGATCTTCACTATTTCCTGATATCTACTGTAAATTTAACAAGAAATTTCCATTTACAGAACAACCTGTAAAACAGATAACAGTCTGAAAATTGAATATTCTGTCATGTTTTTTCTCTCTCTAACGATTTCTTTTAAGTTCATAACTATATTTTTTTACCTGTTTCCATAATCAAAGCACTTTATCTCTGGCACAGAAATGATGGCATTTAATTTCACTTTTGCACTGATGACTCTTTTTCTCCATCAATTTTCTTTTCTACTACATTTTTTATGTTACTTCTGGCCATTATCAAGAACATGCTCTAGCCCAGTGGAACAGATTTTATTAAATGGTATACACTTGGGATGATTTTTTTTCATAATATCATTGAAGTAATAAGTAATGTTCACAAGTTCTCAGAAGGAAACAAAATAACTTAAAAATAGAATCCCTTTTGATTACACACTTCTCTTGATAACAACATTCAACAGAATTGGGTTTGCAGAGGATCAACAAATGTTTGGGGGAAAAAAAAATGGTTAAAATAACATTTATTAAAGTTCATTTCAGTTTCCATAAAGTTGAAAGAAATTCAGGAAAAACAAAAGCAAATGAAAAAGCATGTGATAAAAAGAATAATCACTGAATAATTTTAAAAATGACTATTAAAAGAACTCAATATTTTCATTGTGAGCATAAAAAAGAATAAAATGAAAAAAATCAAGTAACAAATTTATTTCTTTGAATTTTTAAAATGTGTTTATTTTAAGCTACCAATCCAATATTTAGCATTATCATTGTTATATTTTCCCCTTTTCATTTTTTTGAGGAAGACAAAAATGTTAACAATGTAAGTAATCATAAACAAACCAAATTTAGACCCGTATTAATTTCTGTTATTCTTATATTTATTTAAATATCACATATCAAGAAGGTTCCTGAAGAATATGATTTTAAGATAAACCAATGCCTACATGGGTCATGTAACTGTAATTCATACTTGTTAGTACTGAAGTTAACAAAATAAACACAAATAAGCAAATAGTTATTTGATTTTGAACCAAATATGTTGATTAGAAATGACAGATTTTATTGACATCCTATTAGGAAAACTAACACAGCTAATTTTTTTTTCTTTTTTTATTTAGGAAGCTTTGAATAGTAATATTGGTTTTATGAAATTGAGTAACATTTTGCAGTTTATAGGGATTTTCTGATAATGCTACATAATCTTAACATAAGAAATAGTTTTCATGCTAAGACTGTACCCTAAAATACAAAAGAAAATCTATTTCATAAACAGACAGAGCAAAATTCAAGTTAGCAAAAACAAAAATTTATCAAGCAGTTGTCTATTTTATAACATGCCTTTTACAAGCTCTTTTATACTCTTGACTACAATTAGTTTCTTATTAGATTGTACTATAAACTGTACTATTATTCAATAATTTTTTTAACAATATTAAGAAGTTTAGAACTGACACAAAAAATGACTTTAAGGTATGATTGGTGATATTAGAATCTGGACAGCTTAAATAACAGTGGTCCAGTAATGGAGTCTTTCAAGGGTTGTATTCCTTATCAATATTTATTTCCTTGTAAAATCTTGGATAACAAAATAACTAGATTGAAATCAAGTCACCTAGATTTATAGCATCAAGGAGACATTAAACCTAGCCCAATTTAGATTTTCTGTTTTCAAAAGCAAGCAGTCATATATCTTCTAAAAATTGCTTAGATTCTTAAATCAGTGACACTAATGAAGGCATGCTGATGAAATTTACTAGTGCTATATGCACTCATTTGTATGGATTAGCTAAAATCTTATTACTATATACTGAGTGAATAAATAAGACTTATAAGAGGGAGACACACTGATGGAGCCAAATAGCCTATAGCAACTGGTGGTTGCTATGTAAGTCTAATTAAGCAGGACAACTTTACAATAGAGATGTTTATTAATAAAGTAGACAGGATTCCTTGGGTTGGCCTCTTCACAGATTTGGTACACTGTGCTTTTTCATTTGCCTAAAATAAAAAGAACTTTATGCTTACTTTATTACTTTTCAAATAAGTAAATATGTTTGTAAAAAATGCTTGAAGACTTATTCCTGATTGAATGAAAAGTAATTATTTCTTGAATGAAAAGTAATTATTTCTTTTATAAATATAATTTTAATAACATTTCTACCTTATCTCTTTTAAAATTACAATGTATATATGAAACATTTTTAAAAGTGAATTTTATAACAAGAGTAATTTTCATTATTTACACTGCTTAAATAAATTATAATTTATAAATAACTTATAATAGATCAGTGTCTTAAATATTAGATATACATAAAAAAAACTGAAAAAGTTAAAAATTGCATTTAAAGTCAAAATGGTATTTCTGGTTTATAAGATGGATAATCTTAGTCACTTAAACATAATAGTTGATTAAATAAGCAATCAAATGTTTATAAAAATAAAGCATTAATTATAATTATAAGTATAATAAAAATAGGTGATGGTAGGTATTTGTCAATATACATTTAATATATATTTTATAATATAAATAAAAATTGTAAAATTATGTATTAATGTCAACTGACCAAAAGTCATCTTTTTATAATTGTGTACACCAACAGTTATTAATTTTTTTTGTAATTAGAATACATTCTGCTCATCTTAAATTAAAAAAAAATCATTATCTATACTAACTTGCAATAAACTAATCAAATATTTTTTAGGTAATTGGAAAATAGATTGTTTAACATTGTCAAAAATGGAAACTTAGCCACTACTTCACTGGATCACCATTTCTTTCAAGTATT